AATTCTTTTGTGAGGACAGACAGCTCCACGTCAAACAAATAAAAGTGCCTCCACAGAGCAGCTGGAGGATGATGCTCAGTCACTCCTGCTCCTGCAGCAGACACTGCTGCCCCTTGAGCTGCTGTGAGAACACCCCAGGGGTGTCACCTAAACGTGGTAAGAGTGCTCTGCCCATGGCTGACCTTGCAAGGAACACAATGCTGGTTGCTCAGAGGCTGCAGAGCTCTGAAGTAAGCAGTAAGAAATGCTTATTATATAAAAGAATTTGGCCTGTGTTGTTTCTGTTTTTCCCCTCCCCAAGCCCTACTAATGGCAGGGCTCCTCAGCTGGTGATCTGCACTGGTATCTTCCAGCAGAACAACATCTGGTCCTGGTCATCCACCAACTCCCACTTCACGATCAGTTTAATCTGAAAGAGAAGAGCAGAGAGGAAAATGAGGGTGTTCAGGAAACCTTAAGGCAAGGGCATAGGGAGAAGAGTTATCACTTGTGTGGAACAAGGAGGTTCTGGGGACTCTGCACAGAGGACAGAGCTGGGGCATTGCCCTTGCTTGCAGTAGGTGGGCCATGCTCATGCAATGACTCCTGGAGTGGAGGAGGAGGGCTCAGTTGCATGGCACAGAAGACCTCCACACACTGCACTCAGATCCCCATTCCCTGAGAAAGCAAACAGTGGAAACAGCCTGCAACATCCCAGCTGAACTGCACTCCAGAGCCAAGCACCCCGAATCTGGGAGTGTTCAGCTGCATGCAGCAGACTCTGCTGGGAAGCACAGTACAGGAGGATACTGGAGCAGCTGAAGCCACTTCTCAGCAGCTGGAGCCAGGCTGCTTCCTCTGCTGGGTCTGTCCCAAAGTGGGATCTTGAAACTAGAGTCATGTTCAAAGCAGAAATAACACCACATAGTCTAAGGAGTCTTCTCTCCCTCACCAGAACAGAACAAGGTGTCTTCTCTTAAAGGCAGGTGCCCCAGTAAAGGTGGGAGCTGGGGAGCTGACCAGCTGCCTGCGTACTTACACTGGGGTACTCGCTCTTCACAGGGAGTTTATTCAGGTAGCTGTAAGAATGGCCCTTCTGAATGGGGCACTGGATCCCGGACTTGCATCCATCGGGCTCAGGAATAGGAAAGGGTATGTCCACGTGCAGCATCTCGCCGTACACCCTTGCTTTGCTGCCCTGGCTCTCGATCTCTGCAAAACACGGAGAATATGTGTATACCTCACACCCTCCTCTCCACGTACCCCAAAGGCTGCAAGAACGCAACTAAGGGACACTCCTCCTCCCACCCAGACCCCTCTCCATCCGCCCTTCCCCACTCCTCTCCAAGCAGTGGAACACGAGAGGATTACCTCCCTCTCCCCACCCCTGCCGGGGACACGATCCTTACTGCTGGCGAAGGTGACGTTGATGCTGTAGGATGTCCCCTTATGCAGCAGGCAAGGCTGAGTGGGGCAAGGGCTCACGTTCACCTCCTGGATGCTGCCGTCTACGGAACCTGCAAGGAAAAGTCGGGATTACCGGGCCGTCTCCGCCTGCTTACACCCCGCCGCCGCCTCCCGCTGCCCCGAGGCCGAGCGGGGCCGGAGCCACTCACCACAGTCGACGAAGCGGAGAGGCTCGGCCAGGGCAGTGGCGGCGGCGCCCAGCACCAGAAGCAGGGCGAGCGGGGACGGCACCATGGCGAGGGCGGCGGCAGCAACTGGGAGCTCGGCACGGCGGCGGCTCCGCGCAGTCACATGAGGGCGGGGGCCCCGCCCGCCGGTCAGCTGGGGCCGGCTCCGCCCACGGGGCCGGGCCGGGACCCACCACGCGATCCCGGGGGCGTCCTGGGGCTGGGCCGCCCGCCCCTGGCGCCGCGGCGGAGGGCAAGGTTGCACCGGGGAAAAGGGTACAGCGCCGTGACAGGACGGGGGGGGGAAGGGGGTAGTGGGGGTGTGGTGTGCTGGAACAACAGCCCTTGGACAGACAGACACCCTCTCCAACAGCGCTGCCACTGGACATCCCCACTCCTGGGCTATCCTGGTGGAGTCAGTGCCAAAGGTAGCAGCCGGAGGACAGGCTCAAGTACAGGCAGTGCGATGGGCCGGGAAGCTCTTTTGCTGCTTCTGCTGAAAGGAGAGAAACATAAACCCCCTGCTGTAGTAGACCAGCCCGTAGGCTTGTCTGTCGCTTCCGTCATATCTCGTGTTCTGCATGTTGAAAGTTGTCTGTGTAACCTGAGTGCCAGAAGTTACATCTGCTGAGTACCTGGCGCGGCTGCTGCGTTTTACAGAGCACACACACACTGTGAATCTTGTTTCTCAAACTCGTGAAATGCCATAGGCTCCCTGCTTTGTGCTGTGGATGCCAGGACAAACCAGAGGATGAGGAAGATGCTTCAGAAAGCATTTGATCCAAGCTTTTCACCATTTTCACATGGTAGCAAGTTTTAGCCTTTCTTGGGGTCATGTCAGGAACATAGTAGAGACAAAGGCACGAGTGCTGATTTGGTAGGAACGTGGCAGAGCTAACGCAGCGTCCCCACTTCAGACCTCTGTCCCAGTGAAGTGTCTGCCTGCTCAGCTGCAGCTGCACAACCAAGTGACTCAGACGTGACACCCGACGCTTTGCTCAGGCTCTCTGCAAAGGGTGTCACATCAGAAACCCAAGAGGTGTTAGTAGGACCAAGCAGAACATACTCTTATGCATATCTGCTGAGCAGTTTAGCACTTCAGAAGAAGAGGGATCCCTTCCTTCAGAAAGGAACATGGGGCTTTTTCATGTTTTTTTAAGATTTTGAATAAGCATTTGATTTGCAGAGGCAAGCAGACCAGGGTGCTTACAGCAATCCTATCAAAAAAACTCAAAAGACCCTGCTGAGACTAAGCCATGTATTTAAGCCCACCTAGCACACTTTATAAATGACCCATCCTTGCACATTGGAAATCGTTCTCTTTGAAAGGCTTTCCTTCTCTGCATCCTTCCAGTCTTACAAATGGTAAACAAAGCTGGCTTATCTGACTTCTGGGAACAGAACTGTAGTCAGGTCAGACTAACACCATAAAGTGCCATCACACATTCATGGGATAAGCAGGACTTGGAATTTGCTTGGGTGTGAATTCCACAGTGCATTAAATCAGGATGCATTCCTGTGAAACAACTAACCAGATATCTTTGCTTCACAGATGCTTTTGCACAGTGGCAGCGACACATAAATACAAGTCAACACGTGTTTCAAAGGCTTTGAACTGAAAATCATTGAATCTAGGATCAAAATTAACATGTCTATTTCCCCCTTCCTCCTCCAAACTGAAGCCTAATAAGTGTAAGTTTGTAAAACTACAGCCAAGGCCTTTAGAGAAGAAAGACGCAGAAACCTTCTGCCCAAGGTTTTTAGCTGATATCACACATTACCATTGTGTCAGTTTTGCAATAACAGCACTTAAAGCTTAGATTCCCCAGGGCAGCATAAGCACTCTAGGCCAAACAGACCTTGCTTTTAGGCACATGACCCTTTTGACATCTGATAAAAGGCATGGGCCTCCTGGTCCCCTTGAAACCCAACATTGTACCAAAATACTTGAGAAAGACTCAATTCAACTTTAGGCTGGTCTCATTATTTTGCAGACGGGGCTCCTTCCAGATTACCAACATCACAGGGAGCTTACGATTAGGTTCAGAAACACCAGGAGAAATGACTAAGAAAGCTAACAGACTAATTCTTTCCAACAAGACTGATAATCAAGTTCTTAATTTTTGTAATCCAACCAACTCTAGTACATGAGGAAAAGCCTAAGGTTCCACTTCAGAACCTAGCTATACCTGATTAATCCAAATCCCTCTAACAGCATTAAGCTTACAGGGACTACAGTGGCAGTGAATACAAAAGTCAGGTTTTCAAGAAAATCCACATACTAATCAATTTTGCTGTTCTTTCAGCCAGAACAGGCTCCTTTTGCTACAGATTGTCAGAATCACATTGAAATGCATCACATCCACTCTCAACACCACACCAGAGGTTTTATTATCACCAGCTTCTGAAGCACTGAAACAAGCTCAGTTTCTCACCAAAATAGATACAAGATGATTTAAGTATCAGAGAAGAAAAGAGCAAAATATCTAGAGAATTCGACTCACAGACAAATCTCCTCAATACAGTGTGCTTAACAATAGCTAAAGGAACTCCCTAAACCTACATACCACAGACCAGAAGAGAAAAGCAAAACGCAACCAAACTTAAAACCAGATTATGTCCATCTATCAGGAACAAGATGACCAACAAAAGCACAGCCCAGGAAAGAAGAAAAACTAGACGGTAACTCTGAAAAAAACCCAACAAACCATCACTGTACCACATAGCTGACTGAAGGAAAAAATGGCCAGTGATAAGAAAGAGGTGCAAAGGAGTAGCTGTTCTTAGTTACACCCACCTCTCCTAGCTGCTCAAAAAAATTTGCCCCCAGCACCTGAGTCACTCCTCAGCATAGTGGATCATTAATTATATTAACTCTGAGTGAGGCTAGCTGGCCTTTCTCTCATTCCTTCAGTCTGCAGTAGCCATCTCAGCAACGTCCCGAAGTGCCTTGAAGGTATTTGCCACGCTTCTGCCTCTTAACACTGGTAAAAACAAAGGCAGCTAGAAAGTTAGAGTGTCTGGGTTTTGGGGCTACATCCATTCCAAAAGGTGTTCACAGTGAACAGAGCCACACCATGGGGAAGTGCAGTGGGATCAGTCTAACACACCATGAAGGAGCAAGAAGGGAAGCCAGTGCATTATGGAAAGCAGGCATGATCTCTTGCCTTTTCTCCCAGGAGGTTTTGATTCCCTCTTCCAAAGCTGTCTGCTTTTGGGACACCACATTGATAATAACTGAGAAACACCCCAATATGGTTTTTTAAAACATTCGGTGGTCCAATATACCTGATAAGGATTCATCAACCACTGCAGGCACCTGCCCTGCTGGGATACTTTCCTGGCTTTATCCTAACATCATCAGAGCTAACACAAGACCAAACAAAATTAAACAGCTCAAACCAGTCTTTATTTACATGCTCAGGTTTGGAACAAATAAGCAAAGGCACGTGGTTTCAAAAGCATTGCCTTTCTTGGAGCAGGACGGTGAGAAAGCAAACTGTCACAGGGTCCCAAGGTCCCCTGATGGTAAATCATCTCCTCTTGCTGGGATGACTGGTTTTCCTCCACGAGTCTTCCACACAGTCACTGTATGACTCTCCACAGACCTGGCTGGGGCTGAGGAACAGGATTCCTCCCCCAGAAGCACATGAGGAAGCGATAAAGACTTTTAACCGCAGGTGCATCTGTGATCGACCGGCCAGGCCACTGTCACACGGCAGACATGAGGAGGAGGTTATACCACCGTGGGAGGGAAACGTGCCCCGGGTGGCCGTAGGGGAGGCCACGGGGCAGGCTTGGGGTGGGGGTCTCCTTCCCCCCTTCCTGCGGTGGGAGGAGAGGGACGGTGTGGGTCTGAGGCTGAGCATGCTTCCGTGGCACCGGGGCAAAGCGCCCGTCCAGAGGAAGAATAGCCTCCACAGGGATTTCTGAGCTGAGCCCCTACCTGATAAAGGAGAGCAGACTAGTCGGAATCAGGGGAAAACCCTAAAAGCTCTCAACTCTGGCCCCGTGTTTGCTCTTCTGCTTGCCTAACTCCCCTGCGGCGGCACCTTGATCCCTCCCTGAGTTCTACTCAGGATAAACAACCTCACGGCTACTCGCGGCACAAGCACGCGATGACGGGCAGCACTGCGCTGTTTATTGCTCCCCACTGTTTTACTGCTGTTTGCTTCCCTCTGCGAGCACCTCCAAGGACGAAAGGCGGCTTCGTGCCTTTATGCGAAGCTGCAGCGGGTTTCCGGGCCCAGCGGCCTAGCTGTGCCGGCGCACGGACGCCGGTCCCCGGTGCCCGTCCGCCTGCCGGGGCGGCACTTCCGCCTCTGTGGACGCCGTGGCGGCGGGGCGGGGCTGGGCCATTATGGCGGCGCCGGGGGCGCTGCGGCGGTGGTGGGTGCTGGCGCTGGGCGGCCGAATGAGGTACCGCTCCCTTGGATACCCGAGCCCTAGGGTCCTCCCCCGGGGATGCCGAGTGTCTCCGCTGCGCGGCAAGGGGCGGCATCTGCGGGGGTCGGGCGGCGTGGCGGGGACCCCGCTGAGGCTCCCCCTGTCCTCCCTTCTCCCCGAGGCAGCTGGGGCCCCGCTCCGCCGTGCCGAGGACGAGCGCTGCCGAGGCCCTCGCCTGAGCCTGCCCGGGCTGTCCGCCCGCTGCGGTGGGAGTCGTCCTTCTCCCAGCCGGGCCCGACGGAGAGCGAGCCCAGCGAAGGACAGGTCTTCCTCAGCGAAAGCTGCGTGAAGGTGGGGACCCCAGGAGGGCTCCGGTGTCTCTGGGAGGGATTTCCGAAGTGCCCGGCCTGCCGTGGGTGCACAAGGGAGGCGTTTAAGTGTCACTAGTTTGCTCAGTAGGCCTTTTAATCCTTTTCCTTATTTGCAGAGACTGCTGGAGATTGCAGAAGGCTCAGAGTTTCTCAGGCTGCAGGTGGAAGGAGGTGGCTGCTCTGGCTTCCAGTACAAGTTTTCCTTGGACACAGTTATCAATCCTGATGACAGGCAAGGACAAAGGGGTGTAATGGTGATCAGGTATTACTGTTCTTTGTAAAAATGGCAGAGGAGGTATGTGTGACTGTAGGATCTTGCATTGAAGGGAAGAAGCCTATGAGATAAGGAGACTGCTCAGGCTGTGCTTCTCTGGAAGGTCTTTGGCACAGTTAATGGTTAAATATGCCGCTTTTTTGTAGGGTGTTTGAACAAGGTGGTGCCCGTGTGGTTGTGGATGTGGACAGCCTGGCCTTCGTGAAAGGTTCCATGGTGGACTTCAGCCAGGAGCTGATCCGAAGCTCCTTCCAGGTGGTGAGCAACCCCCAGGCAGAGAAGGGTTGCTCATGTGGGACTTCCTTCTCTGTCAAATTCTGACTGGACTTCCCATGGATGGACACTGTTTTCAGACACTTCCTGGCAGTCTTCAGAGGGTTTGTTCTTTTCCCAGCTGCTCCCTCTCATCTCGCTCTATGACATAGCTGTTACACATTACTGCAGCTGTGTGTATGTTTGCACTGAGCCTGTCTCCAAGACTTGTTGGCCTTCCCTTCAGAAACATGAAGCAACCATGAGCACGCACACAGGAGCCTCTTCAGCACCTTGTGAACCACTGGCCAGGTGGTGCTAACTCGCCTGCCCTGTCCTGAATGTGGAACCACTTAACTGTTTCTCTCTGCAAGAAATGGCTATAAATATATATGTGTGTGTGCGCGTGTGCAGGTGTGTTTATTGAAAATTCTTAGTAAAAAAAGTCTCCGAGATTGATTGGCGTTGCTCGTGCATTTACAGGTGGGTAGAATCTGAGTTCTTTTCAGGCTGCTGTTGCTTATCCCTTGTCATTCAGCTGAATGGGACTTGGAGTCTTTCTCACGTATACCTCCCAGGGTTGCTGTCTCTCCACTCACAGCTCGCAGTGGGCTTTTCCAAATACTTTGCTATTTTCTTGCTGAGCAGACTTCTCTTGGTCCCAAGAACCTATGGTGGTTTTGCTGTGAGTTCCTGGGATGAAGGTTCTTACTTATTCAGAGTAAGTGAAACTGAAAATTGAGGTAGGAAGAACTAATAGCTTATCTTTTTATTAAAAAAAAACCAAAAAACAACAACAACAAAAAAAACCCCAAATACTTTTACATATACAAAAATAAAACCCATAGCTCTATATGGCCCAGTGCTACTTCAGGCTGTTCCTAAACCCGACTTGGAGTTTTAGGTCATACAGACTCTCAGGTTTCATAGTGTGTTTGCTGCCTTCTCTTGCCAGCAGGAAGGGAAGTTAAGGTGACATAGAGTTGGATCTGGAGTACTGGTTTGGGGTCCTCAAGTCCTTTTGACCTAAAGTTGTCTGGGAAGTTTTTTCATAGCTCGTTTTACCCTTAAGTCTCAGTCTAACATGCCTGGTTTGATGAAAGACTCTCAGGTAATGGGAAATCTAGAAGTTTCCAGAATAACATCCTTTTGATTAGTCATTTTCTATAGTTTTTTATCTGCCACTAGATGTCTTTTAAATCAAAGTGATTCACCTGCTTCTGGATGAAAAAAAGAGGTGGGGAAGCTATTTTTGTTCCCTCTCTTGTGTTTTATGTGATCATAACCAAATTGTCTAAGACTCGAGTCTTTCACGTGAATGTGGGAGCACTGCATGACTTTGGTGTTAAGGGAATTGCTTATGGCAAACCGTGAGCTTTTTAAGTCTCCATGCCACAGGCATTTTTGTTGTTAAGCTTTCCAAATGCCTTTTTAAACTAATGAGCAGTGTCTGTGTAGAGCACTGTTTTGCCTATTTATTTCTACTGCTCAGAGTTGGTAGCCAGCTAGTTTCAGTTTCATCCGTAGATGTTACAGGAGGTCATATGTGATCTGCTCTGACTTTGTCACATGAACAGGATGTGGACCGGCAGCTCTTTCAGTTTAGCCCTTTTGATTTCCTGCAGTCAACATCTGCCTGGTTACCTTGCTATCAGAGAATGCTGAATGTAGCACTGTCACGTTTTGTGAAAGGGAGTAAAAGGATGTGGTTAAAAGACTTGCCTAAACCCCTGCAGGGTGTTTTGACACTGCCCTTGTGCTCCCAGGTCTGGAAGGTGATGTTAACCAAAACTGCGTTTGAAAAGTATAAGACCTTAAAGCTTGTGTAGGTAGCATACATTAGATAAACTCAATTTCTTTCAGCTGGGAGAAATCAAAGTTGGCCAGAGGAATTGCTTTCTGAACCAGGAAGATCCGTTCTTGATCCGTTTCACACAGGCCTAGGTCAAGTCTCTTTTGGGACCTCTTATGGGAAATAAAAGTGCAGCAGTAGTGCTGGGGAGGTAGCAAACCAGCAGCTACCAAGGCTTTTTTCCCCCTGAACTAAAGCGAGTCTTCAGCCTCTGTAAGCCTGCAGGCTTCATCTTGGATTACTGTTCTTGCTAAATGTAAATGTGCTGTGTTCAACCTAGCCAGGTGCTACCTGCCTTCACTTGCTCTACGCTGATGCAGTAAATGGAGCAAGTGCTGTCCATGTGGAGTGCCACCACTTTCAGAGAACCTGCCTCTCCCTCACAAGGACCGTGCAGAGGATGAGGCTTTGGTCCCCCCCAGTGTCACTTGCAGTGTTGCTGTAAAGCTCGCACGTGTGGCTTGCGTTGCCCGTGGCTCTGGCAGTACTGCTCTGACTGCACTAGGTGGACCCCTTACTCCTTGGGAGTTGCTGCACTGGACATACACAGGCATTTCGACCACTTTCGGGGGGTCGGGTTGGGTCTGCTCCCTGCAGGACCTAAGTAGAAGCAAAAGTTTCTTTACAGCTGTGTCTTTTGGAGGCAGGCTGGAGCCAAGTTCGTCTGGTATTGCAGCAGCCTTGTCACTACATCAGAGAAACTGCTAGAAGCTGGAGAGGTTCTAGCCATACACTGCTCTTGGCCTCCTAGTCCTGCTTCCCGGGAGTAGCTGTAATTTGTTGGCTAAAGCTACTAGTTTTCCAGTTCCCAGTAGGGAATGGGTGCAAAGGGCTGTCTGTCACCCTGAGAGTTGGTCTGATTCTTAAAGAGTCTGTCTGTACATCAGAAATTGAAAACTTCTCTCGATGCTAGGAAGTCAGCAGAGGGGGTCTTGTTGCCAGGGGGGTGAAGGTGATCTTGGTGAATTTTGACCGTGCAGACAAAAAAGGCTAGATCCTACAAAAAGCCCTAACCTGTCAAGGTTTGTATACTGAATAGCCATAGGTGCCAAAGATGGCACCACACTGTAGGCTGTGGGACAAGTGGTGCCAAGAGAAGGACACACAGGATTAGACAGGAAATTTGGTTCTGCCTGGGCCATGAGGGGCTGCCAAGGCATGCCTGTGAGGGATCAGCCCTTGTACTGAACCACTGAGGAGAAGCTGGAGGTGCCGCCTTCGCTTCATGGCAAATGAGAAGCTGCAGTGGAAAATCTTTCTCTGCTCCCACATAAAGAAGGAGGATTCTCTCAGTTCACCCACCTGACAAGGAATGAATGATCAAGAAAGATATTTATGGAAACCTATGTTAAGATGAAACTTCAAGGAAAAAGGGCACAATCATCAGTGTCACTGACAGGAACGTAGAAGAAGATGGAATAGAAATTCTCCCTTTGGTGAGAGCTTGTGGGAGCTCTGCAGGGACTTGTTAGGAGATGACCAGCACATCCTGTGAGCCTGTGAGAACTGGCTCAGTTCTTCAAATTAGGTATCTACCATCACCTATTAACTGTGGGTCCCTCTTCAAGGCTTCGAGCCAGGGTAATGGCACATTTTTGTCGTGTCCTTTTTTTTGTGGTTTAGGGATATGCATACGAGTGCTGTGCTTGTGTTGGAGGGCTCCTGTGTGGTATTGTTTGCTACAAAGAACATTTTGAGGTGAGTGCCTGCAATAAGACCAATGACCAACCTAGAGTGGATGTTAGGGAAATAAGTCCTTCTTATCCACAAACTGCAAAATTTCACTAAGCTCAGACCTTTCCCTTGTGAAGTTGTACATCTGTACAGAGCTGTTGGGTGAGTCAGGAAGATAACTAGGGTTGAGGAGCCAGTACCCCTTGGATGACACCCACTGGGGCTTTTGCTTCTCCCACGCAGTAGTGTAATTTCCTGCCACCTTAAGGGCCTAGATGAATCCAGCACATGGGATAGGATTCATCTAAGCACACAGGATAGGAATCACTGCACAGTGGAGGAGGCAATAACGGGAAGGCAAAAGTGCATGACAGAAGGCTTCTCTTGTCTGTGTCCCATGCTGTGAAGGCACACACTTTATATCAAGACTGTTTTCAGCCTTACAAACATTTCAAACGTCTGGTGGCAGCTGGAAGTAAAAAACCAGAGTGGTATAAACCCCACTGTAAGCTGGGACTGGTCAGTGGAGTTTATTGAATTACAGAATTGAATATCCTGAGTTGGAAGAGACCCACAAGGATTATTGAGTCCAAAAATTATACCATGTGCCTGAGAGCATTGTCCAAATGCTTCCTGAACTCTAGCTTGTCTGGTGCTGTGACCACTTCTCTGGGGAGCCTGTTCCAGTGCTCAACTGCCCTCTGCGTGATGAACCTTATCCTAATATCTGACCTAAACCTCCACTGACACAGCTTCATGCCATTCTCTCTGGTCATTACAGAGAAGAGATCAGTGCCTGCCCTTCCGCTTCCCCTTGTGAGGAAGTTGTAGGCTGTGATAAGGTCTCCCCTCAGTCTCCTCCAGGCTGAACAAGACAAGTGACATCAACCGCTCCTCATACAGCTTCCTCTCTAGGCCCTTCACTGTCTTTGTAGCCTCTTTTGGACAGCTTTATATCCTTCTTATATTATGGCACCCAAAACTGCACACAGTACTCAAGGTGAGGCTGCCCCAGTGCAGAGAAGAGAGGGACAGTCCCCTCCCTCGACTGGCTGGCGATGCTTTGCCTGATGCCCCCTAGGACACAGTGGGCCCTCCTGGCTGCCAGGGCACTGCTGACTTATACAACTTGCTGTCGATGAGGACCCCCAACAGGGCTACTCTTGGGAGTTCAGAGAAAAAATCAAAGCAAGTGTGCTGTATTTCCCAATGAGCTGCTACAACACATGCTTAAGGACTGAATCAAACATAATCTCCACTAGCAAACAGCACCATCAGGTTCATTAGCAGAGGGCATGATAGGATGTGCACCATTTAGATGCTTAATTTTTTTTGCCTGTTTTCATGCAGACCAGATAAAGCCCTCACCAAATGTTTACTACGCTTCTCTGGAGTGGGCCATAGCTGCTGGAGAAACTGGCAGCAGAGAAAGAGATAACTTTGTTTAATGGTTTGTTTGATACAACTGTCAGCCAGCCTGGATAAAGAACCACAGTTTAAGGACACCGAGCACTGGCAAAAATAAACTGCAGACACCTGTATTGTATCAAACTCTTCCCTTTGAGAAGTGTTTTATTGCCTTTTTTTTTTTTTTTTTTTTTAAGAGTATGAATCCTTGAACTAAATGCCATTAGGGGCTAGGTGGAGGATTAATGGTACAGTTTGGATCCTGCTGGGTTCTGAGGAATATGTTTGCTCTGCATGGTTTCCAGCATTAGGCTGCAACTGGCTTTGATCTGTGGAGATACCTGCCCAGGAAACAGCTCAGTAGATCATGAACTTGGGGTTGGTTTAGTATCCAGCTGTGGGCAGAAATACTGTCATGAGTCAGCTGAAGCTGTTCATGACAGCGAGATGGGCCATTATTCCAAGGCTGTGATTCTTCAACCTATGGGGAGCAGTTTGTGTGCAGTGCTTCCTGCCTCTGGCCTTC